AATATAGTTAAAGCCCTTTCTTCCGAATTTGAGATTAAATTTAGAAAATATGCAAGTAAAAACTTACTGTCTATAAGTTAACAATGGGTAATGTAGTTAAAGCATTTTTCATCAGAATTTGCGAAATAAATTTAGAAAATATGCAAGTAAAACTTACCCTCTATTGTGTAACGAATTTAAAGCACTTTACTTCAGAATTTATGAAGCAAACTTAGAAAAAATGCAAGTAAAAACTCACTGTCTATAAATCGACAACCGACAATATGGTTAAAGCACTTTTCTTCGGAATTAGAAAAAAATAAAATAAAATAAAATAGAAAATAAGAAATAGCAAATAGAAAATAAGCAAGAAAAACTTACCATCTGCGATATAAAGAAAGATAACATTGTTAAAGCAATTTTAATCAGAACTTAGAAACAAATCTAGAAAATATGCAGGCGAAAACTTACGATCTACAAGTCGAAAATCATTAAAATAGTTAAAGCACTTTTCTTCGGAATTTGCGACACAAACCTAGAAAATATGCAAGCAAAAACTTGCCATCTTTGATATTAAGAATCATAATATAGCTAAATCACTAATTCAGAAATCGCGAAACAAATTTAGAAATAGCAAGTAAAAACTTACTGTCTATAAGTTTACAATCGATGTTACATTTAAAACACTTCTCTTCGAAATTTACGAAACAAGTTTAGAAAATATGCAAGTGAAAACTTACATCCTATAAGTCATCAATTGATAACATGGTTAAAGCTCTTTCTTCTGAATTTGAGAAATAAATATATAAATATGCAAGTGAAAACTTACGTCCTAAAATATTATATATTCAAGCACTTTCCCTCATAATTTGCGAACGAATTTGGAAAATGTGTAAGTGAAAACTTACTCGCTATAAAATAATATGGCTAAGTAATTTTCTTCAAAATTTGCGAAAAATTTTAGAAAATAAGCAAGTAAAAATTTACCATCTAAATCAAGAATTATATATAATTAACGTATTTTTCTTCTGAATTTGCGGAACAAATTTAGAAATATGCAAGTGAAACTTACCCCCTATAATATAATATAGTTGACGTGCATTTCTTCAGAATTTTCGAAACAAATTTAGAAATTATACAAGCGAAAACTTACAGTCTACAAATAAACAATAAATTATATAAGTTGAAGCATTTTTCTTTAAAAATTGGCAAGACAAGTTTAGAAAATAGCGAGTGAAAACTTACCATCTGTGACATCAAGAATTATAATATAGTTAAAGCATTTCGGAATTAGCGAGACAAATTCTGAAATGTGCAAGTAAAAACTTACACCCTATAAAACAATATGGTCAAAGCAATATTTTCAGAATTTAAGAAATGAATTTAGAAACGTGAATAAAAACTTACAGCCTATAAGTCGGAATTCAATACATAATTAAAGCATTTTTCTTCAAATTTGCGAAATAAATTTAGAAAATATGCAAGTAAAAACTTCACCCCCTACAATATACGTAATATAATTAAAGCACGTTTTTCGGATTTTCGAAATAAATTTAGAAAATACATAATACAGTAGTACGTATAGTACTTACTTGCTATAAAATGATATGATTAAGCACTTTTCTTCGGAATTTGCAAACCAGATTTAGTAAACATGCAAGTAAAAACCTACACCCTATCAGATAATATAGTTAAAGCATTTTTCTTCGAAATTTATGAAATAAATTTAGAAATATACAAGTAAAAACTTGCCTTCTATGATATCAAAAATGACAAAATGGTCAAAGAATTTTCTTCAGAATTTGCGAAAGCAATTTAGAACCCGTGTGAGTAAAAACTTACTCCCTATAAGATAATACATTTAAAACAAAGCAGTCTTCTTCAGAATTTGAAAACCAAATTTAGAAATATGCAATATGCGATTCAAAACTCACTGTCTATAAGTCGACAATTCCAATATAGTTAAAGCAATTTTCTTCATAATTTATGAAAGAAATTTAGAAAAGATGCAAATGAAAGCTTACACCCTAATATAATATAGTTAAAACACCTTTCTTCGTAATTTTTAAACAAATTTAGAAATGTTCAAGCAAAAACTTACCATCTATATGTTGACGATCGATAATATAGTAAAGCACTTTTAAGAATTTGTGAAACAAATTTAAAAAGTATTAGGTGAAAACTTTACCCCCTATAATATACGGCAATATGGTTAGATACTTTTTTAAAAAATTTTCGATCCAAATTTGAAAAATGCAACTAAAAACTTACAGTCTTTAAACAAATTTAGACAATACGCAAGTGAAAATTTACTGTCTACAAGTCAATAATCAATTATATAGCCAAAAAAAAAAAAATTTTTTTTCAGAATCGCAAAGCATTAAAATATGCAAGTGAAAACCTACCCCCTATAATTTGACAAACGATAATATAAATCAGTAAAACCAATTTTATTATAAACTTCTTGAAAAAAATTTCCTAGAAAATTAGAAATTTATTTCAAGATGCATAATAAACGAAATATGTTTATTAAATGAGAAAACCTTGACACATAATATAATATGACCTAATGCTTTTTTCATCAATCCCCTTGCTCTTTCAGTTATTATTTCCATGATAAATAGCAAAGTTGGTATCCGATCATTATAATTTATGGCACAAGTAAATTAACTACGTACGTACATAGTGGTATGTACAGTAATCTTGATAAACGTACAGTACTGTCAACTCTCAAATAGTCAATAGCAGGTGATGATCGATGCATTAATCTGTGAGGGACACGGTTTACTAATCATCAGAATTTTCCGGGACCCGAAAATCAAACTTTTTTAACTAAGTAAACATAATCTAGACAATGAAAAATTTTTTAATTTTTTAACATCAATTTTATTTTTAAAACCAATATTTTAATAAACAATATAGGTATTTGTTAACTGTTACGTATTAAATTTTATAATTTTTGGTTAATATTTCAAACCATCTAATCAATAAAATAAATTTGTTACTAGTGATTTGCTTTAATTAATTAAATGAATACATAGTCTAATTTTAATTAAAGTTATAATATTGTAATATATAAATTTTAATTAAAATTTTAATTTATATAATAAAATAGAAATATTTATATATAAATATCAATATAAATAATTATAAAATAATTTTATTATTTTTTTGTTAATTATGAAATATCTATTTTATTTGGGTAGATAATTATATACAATGTGAAGCAAAAAAAAATCTTGACTTCAATTTTTTGCTTATAATTTAATAATTATTTAATGAAATTTAATAAATAATTAAATATCTATATATTTAATAATATAAAGAATAAAGTTACATAATAAAATTTGGCTTAGTTTCAATTTAAAAGATTTTTTTTAAAAAAATAATATTGATTTTAAGTTTATTAAAAAAATCCACAACAAAGAGTTATTAATGATATTTTATCATATATATTTGATAAAAATAATAATGGATATAAAATATAATTTTTTATAATTTATTAATGAATTTTTTTTATTTAAATAATTTAACTGAAATTTGATAAAAAAAAGAGGATGAATATATACTAAATTGACATTTTTGAATTTTTTAAAACATTTATAAAATTAATTTTACAAAATAAAATACAAATAAATTAGATAAAAAGTATTATTATATTGTAAAGAATTTTTAATAATTCTTTTGTGTATTCAAAAAAAAAAAATTTTTTTTGATTTTTAATTAATTTTTGAAAATAATTTTGTTTTCTGTTCACTTTATGTGTAAATAAATATATATATATATATTTGTAATAAAAATTTTCATGACTATTTTTTTGATTTTAACTTAATATTTTAAAATAAAATCATTAATTAACTTCTAATAAAACTTGATCATCTTTTTAATTATTTTATATATTATGACTATTTAAAATTATATTTTAATTGAATAATTATTCATCAAGTCATAATAAAAAATATAACTCCGCTTTTTTTTTTTTTTTTTTTTTGTCCCAAACTGTAAATACATTTAATTTAATATAATATTTATAATAAAACTCCAGAATTTTTTTTACATTACATGTGCTCCATTACGCTACTCTACACTTAAGCCACACTTATATAATCTGCACTGCATGATTAATGAAATCTATCCTCTTTTTCTATTATGGTTGCAGTCCTCGTGAAATTTAAATTTTATTGGATTGCTCCCTCCCAAGATCCGAAGCTATCTAATTGTTCCCCAGTCTGTACGAATAGTTCTAGTGATATTCACTAAACTTCAACATTCGTCCACGAATCGCTGGTTCGTGATCGAGTGATAAATTATGTGGCATGGGAAAAGCAATCCCTCGAAGAAAGAGGTAATCAGAAATTCAACGATAATTAGGGTAAATATGGAGATAAAGATGTAACCAATCTCGATGATTTCAAAGACGAAACGAGTTCGAGGAGCGTACTTCATGTGAAATTACGAAAAAGTCGAAGAGATTCTACCCCTCATACCTCCGAGGTTGTGTGAATGAATCTTACCAGCATGGAATCATTTCCATTATGTTGGTACTAGAAATGCAGATGCTCCAATCACAACTAGTGAATCTTGTCTGAAAAGTTTTATCACCATGGGTTCAATTTAACAGATAGCATAACCCGATATCATATATATCATTTCGTATGATTAATCTTTGTCTCTTTGATGATGCGTGAATTGCAATCAAATTGTCGATCGATTGACAAGATTAATCCATACGCAGTCTATAACAATGAATGCGAATCCAGCTTCATATTTTCATATGGTCATAGACATCCGAATGTGATCATAAACTTATAACCCATCACTAGAGTGACAACATACACGATCTCTTCGCTACTAATATATCTAAGTCATCACGAGTTTGTATAAACTCCTAACGACTTTAAATGAATTACGCAATTTTAAATGATAACAAGCATATCAAAGTTCCTAATGATTTATATGCTGGTGTATTATAATTACGTATGCGTGTACAGCATGTGTGTCAATTTAATATTTAACGCATTTCATCTCCTATCATTATCGGCCGGTATCTCCAAAACTTCTTGTTCATTGTCTCCACCGATCTTTAAAATTGGTTTATCCCCACCCTTTTTTAAAAAATAATAAATTAACCCACAAATAATAGAAAGTCCAAGAAACCCGGACGCAACACTTATACCAATCACTAATTTCCGATGATTATCGGATGGTGTGGTCGAAGTTACGGGCGAAAACTTTGCGTTGCTAGCGTTTGGAGTGGATGGAAAAGTTGAAGTCGGAGAAGGCGGAATAAATGAGTCAACCCAAGAATAATTTGTAGTGTCAAAAATGTACACTTTGGTATTAAGATTCTTGGTATCACCTAGTGTATCCGGGATAAAACCTTTATTCACGCGAAATGTTAGTTAAATTAGCAATAGAATGGCAGTATGGATTGGTGTTACTTTATTACGATATTTACCGAATGCAGTAATCATTAAATCCCCGTACATTGTTGCTGAGTGTTTAGCCAAAGATGGTGGACTGTTCGGATCGGTTTGGGCGATCGGAGAGTACCAATTATACGGGATAATACTCGTATTTAACATAGAAAGTTCAGGTGTAACTAGAACAAATGATACATCCGTTCCACCGTAAATAACAATTTGACCGTCTTTGGCTTTAAAAAAGAAATTAATGAACCAACATCTTGAAAAATGTAGTCCTAAATATTTTTGAACATAATAAATTGGTAACAATACGCACTGATCACGGCAGTATGAAACAATCGTGCTTGTGGGATGATTCCCGTCGTTGTCTGTAATCACATAATAAATTTTCAGAACCTTACTATTGAAAAGCTATCAGCGTATTTGTGATCCTCACCATTGTAGACCAATTTAGATTTTTTGTATCGAAAAGTTGAAGCTATTACAATTGCGATATTAGCATTATCCAATAAATCCAATATACAGTATATGCACATAAGAACAGAGGGTTTAAAATATATTACTTCATTTTAATTGATCGCAGTTAGTGTGTGATTGGTGCTACTGATATACCCTGCTCCACCAATATAAACAATAATCCCATTTTCCAAAAGTATTGCAGCATAATGTTCAAATGAAGCTGGTTGAGAGGTTTGTTGAACATTTGTCCAAGCATCCGTGTTGAGATTCAGAATATTGGTGCCATTATGAAGGGTAGAATTACTGTTTCCACCAAAAATATATACTTCCCCAGTATTGTCTACCACACCTTCTATTCCTGTCCGCCCCATTAAGTCACTGGCATTTGAATTAAGCGTTCTCCATTTTTTATTAACGGTATCCAATGCATATACCGCAGAACTAGAATCTGCCGCATTTGTATTAGGATTCGTCATTGTACCGCCAATCAGATATATTGTGGAATTATCGAGTGGGCTAACCACTGAGGTCGAATAGCTGAAAGAAACTGGTGCATCCACGCCAGGCAGAGATACCCATGGTGGGTTGGCAATCTGGATAAGTCTAGGTAGAATGTTACATTCGATCTAGTCAAGGAGTTGACGAGTCCACCAGCATAATAGATCTTGGTGCCAACTAGGTTTTGTATATTATCAAATCTCGGGAGTGGTGTGAAACTGAATGCCTCTGAAACGAGGAACAAGAGGAGACAAATTATTTTCATAATAATAAATTAAAGAATAACCGCTCATTATATGTATATATAAGTGCGCGTTGTAATACGTGTCGTTAGATGTAAATCAGTTCCTTTTATAGATGACTTCAATTTCTATTCTTATTGAGAACCACGAAACGATCGATGCGCCACCTTCCTTGAAGAACTCTTATGCATAACAGCCCTCAAAATTTGTGACCAGCTACTTAAATAACCGAAATACCGGATCAGATTAAATTCAATGCCCTCACGGCGCGCAAAAGATAACTTTTAAAAATATCTTTAACAATTCATGGAAACCTATTTGCATAAGATTGTTCTTCTTGTAAAGTCAGTTGTTGACGGTAAAAAATATTTAAAGTTGGATCAAACAACACATTGATGACTCTGTTTAGTTAAAAGCTGTCTTCATACTTTTATCTGTTGCTAATACACGGGGAGGCATTTATCGTGTTGTTTCTGCTGCCTGTAGACACGAACATTGTCGCAAGAAAAAAATCCATTTATTTATTTTATTTATTTATTTATTTAGAAGTAACCATTAAATTTTTTATTTACGATCTTATGAATGATAATAACATACCGCTGGGATCATTAGAAAAATTCACGCCATCGTGTTCAAAAGTTACAGAAGGAATGCTGTAAAAGGAACCTCGGTTAATCTGGAATTTAGCACAATATTGACGTTAAAAACAGGTTTCAATTCTTGCGATCGCATACTGCAATTGTATAATTACTTGCGTTAATACATAACAAAAAATGACTTAAAAATTTGAGATTTTATATCATGTTACCGTATCAGTGGGGAAAAGGATTAAATAAATTAATAAATAAATTAATTAATGAATAAATAATAATATAAATAAATTAATGAATAAATAATAATATAAATTCAAAAGTTTATATAGTTTTATATACCATTGTCGAATATACTGTATACAATTGTAAATATCACGATTTTAGAATTATTTATAAATATAAAAATTATTTTAATGTTTGATTGTTTATAATAATTCATAAATGATCTTGCTATTAAGTTACTGTATAACTAAATTTTCAAAATTTGATCAATAATTGTATTTTGAATTTTAAAATTATAAATAATTGATTTTTTAATATTGAATATATAATTTTACAATTTTTTTTTAAATAAATATATATATATTTATTTCTGAATAAACTTATAAAAATCTTAAATGGATATTTTATACAAATTATTGGTTTATTTTTTAGACAAAATTTATTTTATATAAAATAACTTGATAGAAATTAAATCAAAAAATATTGGAATTATTTTTATATTAAAATATCGAATTTAATCGAATTAATCAATCAACATACTTGCATAAATTAAATACAGTATATTAGATTATTTAACGATATTCGAAATTTTTATTATTTAATACAGTATGTAACATAAAGCTTTGTTTATATAAATACATGCTTATATTTATATATTTCTTTTTATTTATTTAAATTATAAGAAAATATGTACATTAAAAATTCGATGTTATTTATTTAATGTTATTTATTTATTGCATTTTTTTAATAAAACAATCGATTAAAGATGCAGTGATAGAGATGACAAATTTAAGATTACAATTCTTTCTTGAGACTCCAAATTTTTCACTGCTAATTTATCTGCATCTTTAATATGCAGTATATTCATTCGATTCTTTACAAATTAATGAGATTATACAGCATTTGCAATCATAAAATTTATAAGATTTATATTTTTTAAATAAAAAAAAAATAAATTAAATAAATTAAATGAATTAAATTAAATAAATTAATTAAATAAATTAAATTAAATAAAAAAAATAAATTAAATTAAATAAAAAAAAATAAATTAAATTAAATAAAAATAAATTAAATAAATAAAATTAAATTAAATCAATAAAAAATTTAAATTAAATTAAATAAAATTAAATAAACGCGTAGAAATTTTGCAAAGAAATAGAAAATAGATTAAACTCAAACATATAAAACTCTGTACAAACATTTTTTGTTTTTTATCAATAATTTATTCGGTTCTATCGTGGATAAGAATCATGATTGCTTCGCATAATCGAATGCTTTTACAGAAAAAAAAATATATTCTCGGCGCATTTCAACGGACAAATGAATGGGCCAATGTTCTACACGTCGTTTAAATTGGTTCAAAAAAGAAAAAAAAACAAAACCAATAATAATAAATTCAATCTTTTTATCTTTGCAGCATAATCGAATGCTATTTTTATTTCGATTTCTTTCATTGGGTAAACAATAAAATTTGTAAATGTGATTATAATAAAATAACTAATTTCACCGTGGAATAATTTTAGTATTATAAAATAATATAATATTGATAGTATTGCTGTGATTCATGCTTCAAATGTTTTTACAGTAGATGGCCACAACTAACTGAAATCAAAAAATGAAAAAGGATGCTCGAGGAAAATAAACCATGGTCGCTCCAATGTACATAATTTTGATATAACCATTTGTCGAATATTTGCCTATTTTTACCCCACGGTTGAAAAGGCACGACCGAAATTCATTTTTGCTTTAATTCCTAAGTGAAATGATGTTCGTCAATCAAAAAAGTGAATATCTTCAAAAATAATACCAAATTAGATTGGCAAGTAAATGTTCTCAAAATGTAATAATAGATGATTGGTAGCTCAGGTATTTAGAATGCTAATGTTAATGCTGAATTTTGTGATGATTTTTTTTTTTTTTCGGAGGTTTGCTACAAATTAACACATTCAAATTCTCGGCTTTTTACTCAACCGCTTTTTTTTTTTTTAGAAAATGAATGATGATGCAACGTTAATTAATTAATAATTAAAATCTTTTTTTTTTTTGAATAATAAAATTTTAATGCCTAATTACTGGTTCCAGGTACGTAGATATTAAAATACGCGTACAGCGTCGCTCATAATTTGATCCAATTCCTGAAAGAGGTTTGCAAGAATAAGTACAATGTTGAAATTTTCATTGGGAGGAAAATAAAAAAAACCATACCAACTCCATCTTATCTAGCTCGTCATTAACACCCGCAAACACGTCCTTAATCTCCTCCCTTATTTCCGACGGACTAATCTGTTCCAAAATTTTTTCCGGGTCATCATTTAAATTCCAACCGCTTCTTCGCCGTTCCTTGATCTCCAACATATTCACCCCGGATCGAACAAGCACCAATAATTCCTGCAATCCGAATTCATCCGACAATATCCAATCACTATCGGGGATAGGTGATTTGGTTGACGGCGTACGTAGCGGAGTGGAAGTGAACAATTCTTTGGTGGGTGTCACAGATTCCGAGTTCGTGGTGCTCGCCGATCGATTTGAAACAGATGAAGCAGGACGTTCCAAATCCATGCTACTTATTAATTCCGGTTCAGGGAGTTCGTTCGGAGAATTTGACGATTCGTCAATTGGTATTGGTCCGAATGCACCACCATCTTTGAAATCCTTGTTTGCATCCAACTCAAATGATTCATCATTTGAGATAACGGAATTTCGTTTATCGTTGGATAGTCGATTTGGTGTCGACGATATATTCGGTGATTGTTGGACCGGTGTTGACACAGGTGATAATTGTTCCCTATTTTCGCCCAACTTGGGAGATCGATTTTCTGCATTTTTATTTCTTACTGCCGCACTGAAGCTAGGAATTTCGCCCCTCCCATACTGACCAGCTTTAACTTTTTGTATCACTCGGTTGATCCTTTGCTCAATTGTTTCCGTTTCATCCGCATCATCACCGTTCTCACCGTTCTTAACTATATTCTCCAATATGTCAACTTCTGCTGTTCTACTCTTTCTTCTACTCGCTCTCTTATTGCTAAGAGTATTGTCGACATCATTATGAGACGATTCATTTTGCGATTGGTCGTTATAGTCCAGTGAATCTTCTGGGATGGCTGCCAGTTCATCGTCACCCCACACGTCTTCAATGAGGTCGCTAATGTCAACCTGTTCCCCATCGGCGGAAATAAATGAATACCGAACTTGTGCGCCAAATATACGGGAACTTCGAATCGCGCCGGCTCTCGTGATAATGTCTATGCCTTGTTCTTCATTTTTACGTGCCGCGAGGATTGACCTCTGTTTGGCACGGCTGTACTCACGCTGTTGTTCGATCAGCTTTTTCCGTGACAATTGATCGCCGGCGGCATTTTCTGTTACTGCTCCCTCGGCCGCATTGTCACTGGTTGGCAGCTGAACGGATGGCATGGGAGTGGAATTCATGTCGCCCAGGTTTTGAGTGAGATTAACGTTTTGTGTATACCGTTTTATGTCTTCGGATGCAGTTTGAGGCATCGCACGCTTCTGACGATCTTCTGGACGTAAAAGCCTGAGAACGAATATTGGTTCGTCCGGATGATAATCAAATGTTGAGGACGAAGTTGAATCCAAGGAATCAATGGAAAAATGCCGAAGATCGGAAGGAGGTTTGTAGAATGACATCACATTCGTTTCGGGACGGAGATATTTTTCTGTTTGGCGTAAGAGATCGTGAGTTTTAGACAAATTTGGAAATGCAAAGAAGTGAAAGAAGAGACAGACGGTTGGTTACCTTCCCCATCGACAATCATCGTCAGATAATATCGTGGTTTGCCGTCATCAGATCCCAATATCGGTTTCCCATCATCCACTATACCATCACTGATTCCAAACTTGAACATCGCTTTCTCAACGATTTGACCGATTCTAGTCTTTCCTGTCACGTTCACAGCTTTCTCCCGAGGTTTACCTTCTTCCCTCGATTTTCTTCTGGCAGCCTTCTCAACCAGATGCTTAGGCACGGACATCGAAACCCTCGGCACCGTCCCCTTATGTCTCAGGTGAGCTGGCAGGTCATCAGAATATACAAGGACTCGCACCCGAAACTTCGGCTCCATGGAATTTGTTTTTCCATCCGTCTTTAATTTCTTATTCAAGTATAGACAAACCAAGTTCTTGTCATCTCTGAACAACAACTTACTTATCGCCTCATGAGTCGATAAATTCGAAAAGTTTGAGGAGACCGATGAGATGGAAGCTCGCTTAACGGTCGGTAGCGGTGTGAGATATGATGAGGTCAGGGTTTCAAATATTTCCAATGGATAATCATGGGGCATCAGGTGATGAGGTTCTGTAGACAAAAAGGGCGGAATCGCTTATTAATAACGGATTTATCACAACAAAACGTGCACCGCAAGATAACGCAACCTCACCTCTGTCGGATTCTTTAATAGTTATATAGTAGTCGTCCCATTTATCTTCGCTGTCCAGATTGAAACGTTTTAACGCTTGTTTTATGAGTGAAATTGTATTCGTTACTTGACTAAGAAGAACAATTTTATATTCGACTTTGGACGAAATATGTTGACCAGCAAATATCCGAACGACACTGTATGCTGAATTAGCGGGTATCATGAGACTATTTGGTCGTCGAGTTTCAAACTCCCTGAGTTTCTCCGTTGGTCTCGATCCGATTGATTGTTGCGCGGTTGAATTTAGTGATTGATTTGGTTGTACAGAATGCTGTTGAGTTTGAGTCGGTGATGGTGGTGTGGACTTCGGTGGTGATGGTATTCGTGTCGGCGGTTGGCCTGGTCGTGCGGATTGGAGCTGCTGTTGAATTGTTGTCATATTCACGGATTGCTGCGATGATGATGATGCTCGCGATTGAATTGAATTCGTGACTTGTTGCTGTTGCACCATTTTTTGTGCTGACGGTTGAACTGAGGGTTGCACATTTATTGACTGCGGAAGTTGTGAAGGTGGAAGTTGTTGCCGTCCGTAGGCTGACGATGGAATGTTCGACGGTTGCTGATTGAGTGATTGATTATTATTGAATCCTTGTGGATTGACCATTGGTGGTTGCTGTAAATTCATTCTTGGCGGATACGGTTGGGTGTTGTTCGTGACACGGGTGTCTTGTTGGAGCGTACCACGGTTATTCAAATTCGTGGATTGCTTTGAAGAATCCTCATCCTTCTTACTAGATTTTGTCTTTTTCTTGAAAAAGAGATTTTTAAATATTCCACCCTCTTTCTTTTCTTTCTTTCCCTTGTTTTTTTTATCTTCTACTACATCTGTCGTAACCGGTTTGTTGTTATTCGACGATGAATTGTTTACTTTCGAGGAATCATTATCACCCTTTCCAAAGAATTTATTGCCGGTTTTTTGTTTAGGCTCTTCGTCCTCATCATCCGAGAAGTCGATGAAATCACTTCCTAATGCGGGCGTTAGTGACATCTTAATCGTCTCGGAAGACTGATCAAATATGTTCTCTGATGAAAATATGGGATTTACGGGTTCAGTTTGTTTCACATTGTTATTTTCGGTCGAACTCTCTTTTTGATCTGAACGAGGGTAATAATTTGTCTGCTCCGTGGACGAATTGATCTCCGTTGGTTGAACGCTTGTGACCGCAACTTTCTGTTGCGTTTGCTCAACCTCGATAATTATTCCCGGCTTCTGCGCTGTGACCACATTAACTTCTTGACTTGCTGTCGTTGTTGTCGTCGATGTCGAGGATTCGGTAAGCACACTCTCAACACTTTCTCGTCGCTCCAAAACTGGTTCCTCATGACCATCAACCGCCTCATCTTTTTGTTCTTTAGAATCACTTGAATCTTTCATCTCCTCGTAATCCGAGAAATCTAATACTTCTTCCTCATCTTCCTCCTCATACTCTATCCTTGTGATAAATTCCATTGATTTAAATTTAACCCCCTTTTGCTTTTTAACAGTATCTTTCGAATCAAGAGAGTAATCTCGATCACTGTTGTTTTGTGATGAGGATGCCTACACAATTAAATTTGTAAAGCGTGAGAACAGATTCAATTTCGTTTTTCTTTTCTTTTCCCTCTCTCTTTTTCTGAGTGCATACATTGATATTCCGATGTTTGTTTAGTCTGGCCAACTTTTCGTACGGAGTCTAATATTTAAAAAAATTTGAGACAAAAAAATGATATCAGAAATGATTTCCAAGTGAATAAACAGAATCGCAAAGATGTTAATTTGTGAACGCTTCTGCTAATGTTATGATATTATTAAAAGGTTCTAAATTTCACCTCAACATTCTCGGCCGGTATATAGCCAACCTCCTCATTTCTCAAAACCTTAACCAACCACCAATAACTATTCGAATCATCTAACAGTACAAGCGGCTCACCCTTTTCCACACTTGTTTGACCCTCAACTGTTGCTGTGAAATTGTGAAAGGCGTAAACTAGATCATAATTAATCTCTTCATCGATAACCGAAGGGGATGAAGTGAAGTCATCGTCATCGTCATCGTCAAAGTCCTCCAATATCCGATTCTCTTCCTTTCCTTCTACCTTGTTATTCGCCGATGAATCGTTAACATTGTTTGTTATCCTTTTACCACGAGACGCAGCAATAGTATCGATGGTAAGATTATGTTCTCGATTCATATTTTTTTTTTTTTTAATCTAATGGATTTATCCTCAACACTTAATTAAATAATGTTAAGATTTTTTTTCTTAAAAAAAAAAAAAAAAAAAAAAAGGGTAGTATCAGTTAAACATGAGAATAAATGCTAATGAGAAAATGAAATCATCCAGGTGACAGCAGGTCGGCAGAAGGAAGGGGTGACGGAATTGTTCGAAGTCCAAATTAAGGGATATAAATTTAATTCTTTATTATGTAATATATAACTCAACAACGCCAATTTTACAAAAATAAACAATTTCCGTCAACAAAAAAAAATCGGCAATGTTTGAATTATGGAGTCAGGAAAAGAGTGTGAAAGTTGATTTATAAATGCGTTTAGTTGTCTGTATTAAATATGTGCTGTACGGAAATTAACGCTCCCGTCACACCCTGTTGCGGCCAATACAAATATTACCATTACCAAATTTGTGTTCATCAAACGATTAAGGGTGAACTACACGCGAACGAAAAGTTACACCGGATCCACGAGTCTTCTTGATGACGAATCCCCCAAAAAACAACTCAACACCGGGTATTCAATTTTTTCGATCTAAATGAGAGTCACGCAGGAACATATGTGCGTACGTACAGTACGTACTGTATATCATATTTCTCTCTAGACACTTATGATGTACTGTACGTACAGTACCGCACGCACATTCATTTTTCCGTTAGACATGCAAAATTTATTTAACGCTATGTCGTGCAACTGATGCATTCCCGTACGTACGTGTAATTCTCAGAATCTTCGAAACCTTTTTCATGTACCGCTACGTGCATATTTAATTTGGTGCAACCAGTCGCTCACGCTCATTTCAAGATCATTTGAGTTACAAAGAGGGAAGTTGTGCACATACGTACAGGGGTAACAAAAAGTTATCGGCCACCCTTGTGCGAGATACGTATTCTTTTTGCGAAACTAAGATTACATGGATTTAGTTAAAACCATCACATATTACATATGAACCCCCTCCTACCGAATAGGCATACAACTACTGTAAAATTAATTTGCATGAATGCGTCAACGATCTTAACTCATCAATATTAGATTCGACGATACATTCCTATATCCGCCATTGACCTGTGAAAGTCACGGTTCGGGATCTGTGGGTGTAAAGGTTATGTGAACGGTGGTATTGTTCTCCGTTAAAGAAAAAGAAGAAAAAATCTTTTTTTTTCTTTTTTTGGGTGGTCGTTATCTACCAAATATGATAAACACAAAATGACCCAAAAAGAAGGCGTGAACGTATCGCAAGCGACATTTAACGAAAAAAAGAATGCGCGCTCCTTATCTTGCCGAACGATTATTGTCCAACGCCAACTAGCCATTTGAAAAAATAAGTCATCATTTTAAATAGAAACATTATTTAGAACACTGACTACCTGGTCTGTATTAAATTACTTTAATTATGCTTTCGTTTCCTTATATCGATTTTTTTTTTTAATTTTTTACATACAATATAATATTTAACGTGCGCAGCATATTATGCATTAAAATTAAAATTCTTTTTATAAATGAGTAAATTAGTCTTTAACAAACTTACAATAAAGAAAATACTTTTTAAAGCAAAAAACTACTTATATAATATCCAAAGTTTATCAAACTAAGAAGAGCACTAAAGCTTAAAACCCTTTTTAAAAAAGTTAAGTGATTTAAAAACACTTAAGATTTATAAGATCTTAATATAGTAATCAAAAAGTATAATATATCTATAATCCTAATTATCTGATTGAAAATATCTATATCTAATATAGTATCTTAAATATTCTATTCAAGATATGATAAAGGATTTTAAAGTTATATATTATAGTATGAAAGTTAAGAATATTAAGAATAAGATTAAAAAAGTCTTGAAGTAACAATATTATAATTTAAGATACAAGTAAAGAAAGATGGTTAACTTCTTAATAAATAGAAAAAAACAATATTATATAAATAGAGTCAATATTAAAAAAAAGTATATAAGATATTATATAAAAAAAAAAAAAAAAAGAAGTACAAGTTAAGAAGCTATATAAAAAAAATTAATATAAAAATCTATTAATATCCATTTCAAATGAAAAATTATATATAATTTTACAAATATTTTTCAATAATAAAACTTTAGAAAAATCATAAATTTGCTATAAAATATTAAGAAACTAAGTTTGGAAAGAAAAAAAAATATTTAAAAATAATATTTAATAGATTTATAAAATATAAAATAACTTTATTAACTAGAAAAAAAGTTATATTTATTCAATAGTAAAATCTAAATATTTAAAAATATAAACTTTTAAATATTTATAAAAAAGTATCAGAAAATTTTTTAAGAAAAATTTAATAAATAAAATATATAATATCTATAGAATACATAATATTTTAAAAAATCCCAACTTATTAGATAAAAGTATAATTAAATTAATTTAAACTTTTAATAATATTTGTAAGAATATTATTAAAATAAAGAAAAATTATAAATACTATTTTAAGATATAGTCTAAGTACATTATATAATTAATTTAGAAATATTTACAAAAGTTATAAAAAGAATAAAAATTTTATAGAACTTTGTTGAGATTATTTTAAGTTTATTTCAAAATAGAAAAATTAAAATTATATTTAAAAATATTTTAATAAATAATATAATTATAAAAATTAAAATAGATAAAAAAAATTATTTTATTGCTTATAATAAAAAATAAATTTTTTTTTAAAAAATTAAAAAATTTTTATTATAATTTGGAATTTATTTATTTAATAATATTATTTTTAATTTTTTTTTTAATTTTTATATATAAAGTTATATAAATAAATATATTTTAATATAAATAAAAATAAAACTCTTTCTGCTGATCCTCTGACCACATGCAAAAAAGATGTTTTCAAAAAGTTCTTTTACTTTTTTGCCAAAAAAGTCTTAACATTTTCCTTAAAACTCCTTAAAAAATGACTTCAAAAGCTGGTTCTATCATTTTTTACTTGTTTATAATCCTTTTTAATCAAAAACTTGACCTCTAATAACCAAAAATAGGTTAATTAACACCTTTGATACCAATGGCAAAAAAGTTTTCAAAGGAAAAAAAATCAATAGTGAAGTACCTAAAGGTTTTTTCCATTTTTGAAATAAGAGATATATAGAGTTTTTTGATAATAAAAGTGCTTATTTTTTTTCCTTCTTCTAATTACTGACCTCTTAGAGCTACTAATTTCACTATTTTCTAAGGAATTTTGTCTACCTTAATTTAATCCTGAATTTTGGATAGTATAAATTTTTATCAAAGATAATTAATTGTTTGATACAAAACATATTAGTTTTAGAAAAACTAAACAAGTTTTTATTAAACATACTCAAGTATTTTTATTATATTATAAGTGATATAAGAAAGAAAATTTTAAAAAAAGTTCTCCTCAAACTGCACATATTCAATCTCCAGAAAACATTTATAATACTAAAGTTAAGATAAATCTATATAAAGAAATTTTATTTCTTTCTAAATTTCTTAGGTAATAAAAAGACTTCCTAAGATAAAAACTGAGATCTTTTAATTTCTTTTAAACTATTTTAATCTGGTGTATGCTTAAATGAGAACTTATTTGATATCACAAATAATAATAAAGAAGATTTCTTTTAAGGTTCAAATAAAACAAAGAAAAATATTTAAATTAAGAAAACCCTTTTCAAGAAGAGGTTATGAAATAGAACAAGAATCTTTTGGAGAGCTTTAAATTGTTTTTGTTTTTCTCTTTTTCAGTGCCAATTTTAATAATTTATCATTTTTCAAGATAATCACAGTGATAAACTATTGATAATAAGTCTAAATGACTTAAAGGTACTGTATCAAATTACTAAGAAAGTGTAATATTGTTCACTAAATCTGACTTAATATACCTAGTTAAAACTTAGTTTTATTTAATCTGAATTAGTTTAATGGCACCTCATATTTTTTAAATAATATAATTCTTAAATTAATAATATACAAAACCTGTGGATCAATAGTACAGTGATAGTGCTCCCAAGTCGTAATCACAAAGTTCATAGTTCAATATCACTTAAGGGCCAAAAATTAAAAATTATTTTCTAATTAGGTTTTACCGGTTATTCTATGAAAGTCATACCCAATCATCCGGAACAAGATCCAATCAGGTTAGACTGCAGGAAGATAAGACTTCTGGCCTTCCATTGATCAGGACTAAGATTTATGGTTATACTACCAGAAGGATTGTATGAAGAAAGGCTTCTGGTTTAGCCTACCACAGATACCCCCAAGACCCCTTGCATTGGCAATCTCCAGAACTCCACTCTCCTAGCTCAGGATATCTCAATCTGGTGCTCTGCTTAATTGAAAATCAATTAATAAGGACTGATCTGATATCATAGGTAGTGACAAAGAAGGTAACGTGCCCCCTTCCAAGGTCTGAACGAATAATATCTGGAAATATTGGAGGGAATAAAATATTCCGTCAGATACACATAAAAAGGACTAGCTTAGTGAAACAATAACAAAAACACAAATTAACAAGCTCAATACTAATTAGCCTAGCCACGCTATTAATAACTGTGTATTAATCATTTGGCCCCTAGTTAGGTCTGCCCATTTAAGGAGTGGTAGTTGGTTTAATCTGCATGTATGTAGAAATATATAATT